GCTCACAGCTGGCTAGTCCAGCACCCTTCTGGCACCTTCAGGTACCACACACAGTGTGCAGCAGAAACCCATAACATAAATGAAAATATTCAGGGACCTGGAGATAGCTTAGTGGTTGGCGTGTGCTGCTCTTGCAGAGGACCTATGTTTGGTTCCTACATGGGGTGGTTCACAACCGCCTGTAACTCCAGCTCAAGGATCTGATGCCCACTTCTGACCTCTAAGGGCACCTATTCAGGTGTGCACAATTAAAAATTGAATAAGTTTTAAAAGATGATTAAAATTTTAAGTTTGAAAATTATCTTTCCTGGGCCCTTCCCTGTGTGTCCAGGGCCAGAGTGTATCCCTTCACGTGGGATGGGCTCTCAAAGTCCCTTCTTGCACCCAGGAAAAATACTAATCCACCACCAGAGGCTCCCTGGAATGCAGAGGCCTCCTTATTGACATCCATGTTCAGGGGTCTGGATCAGTCTTGTACTGGCCTCCCCGACAGCATCTGGGGTCGATGTGCTCTCCCTTGTTCAGGCCAACTGTTTCTTTGGGTTTCTCCAACTTGGTACAGACCCCTTCGCTCTTCATTTCTCCCTCTCTTTAACTAAATTCCCTATTTCAGCTCAGTGTATATTTGTGGATGTCTGTCTCTGGAAAATTATCTTTAGCCGTAAATACATTACTCTGTGTGTGTGTGTGCAAGCATGTCTGGTGTTACGGTGCTATGGCATTCTTTTTTTTTGGTTTTGTTTTGTTTTGTTTTGTTTTGAGACAGGGGTGCTCCCAAATGCTGAACCTTCTCCTCTCCTGACTTCAGTGTCTTTTTTTTGTTTTGAGATTGCAACAGGGTCGCTGGAATTTGATTTGTAGACTTAGCTGGCTTTGAACTCACAAAGATTCTACTGCCCGCCCTCAGTGCTGTATTAATGGTGTGAACCACCACCATGCCCAGCTAATTTAAGATTTTTTTTTTCTGAGACTGGGTTTCCTCTGTGTAGTTTTGTAGCCTATCCTGGCACTCGCTCTGTAGGCCAGGCTGGCCTCGAACTCACAGAGATCCGCCTGCCTCTGCCTCCTGAGTGCTGGGATTAAAGGCGTGTGCCACCAATGCCCGTCCTGACTTAAGATTTTTAAGGGAAAAAAACTTTTGTTTTTTGCTGCTGGGGGCACTGGGCAAGTGCTTTCCTACTGAGCCATGCCCCCAACCCTCTTGTACCACTGGCTGGGGTCTCTCTCCAAGTCTCCCAGACAGTCTCCTTGAACTTTCCACCCTCAATCCTCTGCCTCCTTAGTGACCCAGATAGTGGGTCTGCCTCCTTGCTCCTTCCTTTGCTTTGAGCAGACTTGTTAGAGCCTAAGGTTTTCCCCTCTAACTTAGTTTTCACTGGCAGAGACCACAAGAGACTGTTCCAGATGTGGCTGAGTTACTCTAGCTAAAGGTTCCCATTGGCCTTGCACAATCTTCTTGTTGCAGTTGGTGGCAAGGAGACAAACTCTTTCTCCATAATGGCCCACTGCTACTTCTGGGCTCTGCAGCCAGAAGTCCTCTGTAGCAAGAGCCGAGCCAGTGGTGTAGTGTGCTAATGGTGTAGTGATGAGGTCACCGGAGCTTTAAATAGTTCCAGGCTCTTGAAATAAGGACAGCATGATTTAGGGCAAAGGCCAGAACAGGATCTCCATGGCTGCAGGCACTTGAGCTGTTCTGGCATCTGAGACAGTGATTGGGTTGCACTGCAGCAGGGTATCAGTTTCTGTAGAGACCTGAAAACAGGCCAGGGGCTGGTGGCCTGAGAGCCTCAGGGACTTGTGTCCCAGTCTGTCTGAGGAGTTTGTTCTTTACAGGCTGCTTCATGGAAGGAATATAAAGAGCTAAGCAAGTGTCAGGTGAAAGAGACACTCCGTCCAGGAAGGTGGCAGGTAGAGGTGGCTGTTGAAAAGAAATGCAGATGGTGCTGAATGAAGGATATAAGATGAAAGGCCTCCTCAAAGGCCTCACTCCACACCTGGAGCACACAGTGTCTTCGTGGGTGCTTTGAGCACTGCATGGCAGCTCAAACCGTGAATCCCACCATGCCAGAACCAGAGACAGGCGGATGAGTTGTAGACCAGCCAGGGCTGTTTGTCGTCTCTGTTTTTTGGTTTTGCTTTTTTGAGACAAGGTTTTTCTTTGTGTACCTTTGGCTGTCCTGGAACTCTGTATACCAGGCTGGCCTCAGACTCTGCCTCCCTCATGCTGGGATTAAAGGAGTTAGTTCACTATAACCTCTCTGGCTAAGGGCTATGTTGTAGTGAGACCTTGCCCCCCCCCAAAAAAAAAAGTCTCAAACACATGAGGATAACCCATGAAATGTATGTTTTTTATGGATGATAGTCAATTAGAATATAGCTCAGTGTGATAGAGGGCTAGGTTAACATGCCAGAGACTCTAGGTTCGCTACCCAAGACCTCCTAAAATGTAATGGTGAGACTACACAGATAAAGCAGTCAAAACCCAGAGAAATGGAATGTCTTGCTCCTCAGACTACTCAACAAACTCAGGCTTCAGAACTGAGCATGTGTGAGGCAGGTTGGCCACTCCCAGCCGTAGAGAGGCTAAAGCAGAAGAATGGAGAGTTCAAGGACGGGTGTCCTGGCTGGTTTGGGTTTTTGTTTTGACTTTATCAACTTGACACAAGCTAGAGTCATCTGTGGGAGGGCCCAGCCCATTGTGGGCAGGGGGTGGCTGAGTTGACTAAGTCATGGAGAGAAGCCAGGAAGCGAGGCTCCTCCATGACCTCTGCCTCTAGCTTCCTGCCTGACTTCGCCCTGAAATGGAGTGTGCCCTCAGAGGTGTCTGTCACAGCATCTGGCACCTAACTGATGTGATGTCGGCCTGTATTGTTCAGGGTGGTGTTGGCACAGGGCAGTAACTGTTATGGCAGAAAGTGCCCCTTGCTTGACTTCCTTATGCTCTGAGTCCTAGCAGACCCACAGCAGTTCTTCCCTCTTGCCTGCATTGGAGTGAGGAAGGTCAGAGGTTAACTTCACATACTGGGCTCAGCATGGTGCGGTGATGGGAGCTTGCATGTGTGCACGCAGCCCTGGGTTCTGGTGCCAAGTGGCTGTCTCTCTTGTCCCTTCTTGTTTTCCCAGGACTGCAAGTTGAACCTAGTAGGCTAGTGCTCTGCTGCTTAGTTGCAGCCCCAGCCCTGGAGGTGTTGTAGACCATTTCACACTGGTCAGAATCTTAAGTTGCTAGGCTTTTTTTTTTTTTCCTCTCTCTCCCCCTTTCTTTTTTAAGCTTATTGTGTAGACCACACTGGCGCTGAACTCAAACATTTTATGTGCATTAGTGTTTTACCTACCTGTGTCTGTACACCACTTGTGTGCCTGGTACCTGCAGAGACCAGAAGAGGAGGCATGGAGGGCATTGGGTCCCCTGGACTTGTAGTTACAGATGGTTGTGACCCATCATGTGGGTGCTGGGAATTGAACCCCAGGTCCTCTGAAAGAGCCATCAAGGCTCTTAACCACTGAGCCATAAAGTTCTTTTTGGTTTTTGAGACAAGGTTTCTCTGTGTACCTCTTGTTGTCTTAGAACTTGCTCTGTACAACAGGCTACCTGTTCCTCCTGAGCTCTGAGATTAAAAGTGTGCAGCACCACTGTCTGGCCCCATTTTTAAGTTCTTTATTCATTTATTTTTATGTATATTGGGGGCGTGTATTTGCATGGCATGTGAAGGTCATAGGACAACTTGGGAGAGTCCGTTCTCGCCCCAGTTGTGAGGCTTGACAGCAGGCAGCTTCACCCTCTGAGCCGTCGCCCAGTGTTGACTTCCTTTCTGTGATGTGTCATTTGGTGTTAGCATGGGAGTAGAAAATTTTTCCTTTTTTCTCAAGTCTACTTGAGGGTGACTCATTCCCAGAGGGACTAGGATTCGAAGAACAGGGCAGGTTGAGGAAACTTGTTCCTTCCTGGGAGCTGCTGAGTGTGTGCACAGCCATCATACGCTCATGCATGTCCATGACAGCTCTTGACATTTGCACTTGGGGCATTCGACTTGTGTAAGACCTGGACTGACAGGCACTCCTGAGGCAGACAACGGTGCTTATTGCTGTGGAATCCATCTTCGTGTCTTTCTGCATCCTAGTCACCTGGCTAGCGGAAGGACCTGTTGTGGGTTGATGTGAAGCTATACTTCTTGCTGTTATCTTAAGTCTTAATGATGCTGGGTTCCTTTCTCCTCCAGGTGACTGAGCTGAATGAGCCGCTGTCCAACGAGGAACGGAACCTCCAGGAGATGGCCTACAAGAACGTGGTTGGGGCTCGCCGCTCCTCCTGGAGGGTCATCAGCAGCATCGAGCAGAAGACTTCTGCTGACGGCAACGAGAAGAAGATAGAGATGGTTCGAGCCTACCGGGAGAAGATCGAGAAGGAGCTAGAGGCCGTGTGCCAGGATGTGCTGAGCCTGCTGGATAACTACCTGATCAAGAATTGCAGTGAGACCCAGTACGAGAGCAAAGTGTTCTACTTGAAGATGAAAGGGGACTATTACCGCTACCTGGCTGAAGTGGCCACTGGGGAGAAAAGGGCGACTGTGGTGGAGTCGTCTGAGAAGGCCTACAGCGAAGCCCACGAGATCAGCAAGGAGCACATGCAGCCCACCCACCCCATCCGGCTGGGCCTGGCACTCAACTACTCCGTTTTCTACTACGAGATCCAGAATGCCCCAGAGCAAGCATGCCACCTGGCCAAGACGGCCTTCGATGATGCCATCGCCGAGCTCGACACTCTGAACGAGGACTCCTACAAGGACTCCACTCTGATCATGCAGCTGCTCCGAGACAACCTAACGCTCTGGACAAGCGACCAGCAAGATGACGACGGCGGCGAAGGCAACAATTAAGGCCCCGGGTGGACTGGCAGCGCACGCCGATGCTACTACTGCAGTCTTTATTTTTTTCCCATGAGTTGGGGGTCGGGTGGGGGAGGGGAAAGGGAGGGCTCACCTTCCCAGGGAGAAACCCACGACTGTCCTGTCTTTGATCGCCTCTTTGACATTTTTGCCAAAATACCACTAGTGGAAAGTCAGGCTTGCTGTGCTGGTATCGGAGCTGCAGCCTCACACAGGCACCCGGACTGCCGTGCAAGTGGAGCTGTCTGCCTTTAGTTTAACTTATTGTAGACGGTAGGGTTTAAGATGAGAAGAGAAACCGGAAATGGATGGCCCTCATTCAGTGTGTTCTGTGGTTCCAGTAAGAATTCTACTGTCCATACTCTCGTCTTCAGTTCTGTAGCTGTTTTCTCTCTGTTGTGGCTGGGCTGGGGTTTTTGTTTTTTTTTTTTTTCCTTTCCCC